AATCTAAGCAGTAGTTCGCTGGTTAACCTCATTGTGAATATGAAATAAAAATGTAATGACTAAGGAAATAAATTTGGACACTAACGCAAAGTCAAGATATCAGTCGGAAAGACAACGCTAAGTATACAACTATAGGCAGTATTTGTGGTCTCTACTTTTCAGTATGAATTTTAAGAACGAACATATCAATCAGTCGTCGGATCATTATTATACGTAGCTCAAACATACAGTTGTGGACACTTCGAAACAAGTCATCCTGTAGACATAGAGTCCTACCTCAAGCGCACGAAGAAGATATATTTATATTGTTAACTTCGGTTTGGATGTATGAAATCTTGGCATGCAATAATACAGTGGTAGGTGAAAACCAATTTAAGAATTCTTGGCTACCTGTAGAATGTTCTAACATTCTAATCAACACTCATACTTCGTACCATTCCGTTCTGTGTAGTATACGTTCGACCCAGCTAATTGCTTGGACAGAAGGATAAAACGGTCAGTCATTAGGCCTGACACTGTTTATCATATTAATACATCCGAAGAAAAGGCTTTCTTTCAGCTAACATGCACAAACAGTGAGGATGAAATTACCATTAGAGGTACTAGAAAAGTAATGAGGGAAACAGTAAAAACATTCCGTAGATTTGCTGAGCAATGAAGAGTTGTCAGAAGTTTCTTCACAAGGTTGAGAAAAAAGTGTTATTATGACTTCAGAATTCACCTGTAGAGAAAGGATTTTGGTTAAGTGATCTTATTGGACCTGTTAGATGAAGAAAGCTGGTCTACAGCATTTTATGTAATGACTTTACTGTCAGATATATTTGTCAGAACGAGTACATACTGTTTGTTAGTTTAGTAAACCATGAAAATGGTTAAGTAGAATGTCAGTTATGAAGATCAACTTCGGGGAGTCTAAAGAGAGACAACCAACTAAATCTTTGAACAGTGAAACAATACTAAACATATATGATGAAAGTTACGTGTACGATGCAAGTTTTCAAATTACCTACAAAAGATAAATAATATCTGTAAAGTAAAATGAAATGCAGAATTAAGTAAATGCTGAAGATCAAAACAATCCTGGAGTGATATTTTTAAAATCGGTATGTGGTAAGATGTAGAATGTTTGATCAAGGTGAAAACTTAATTCAAGCTCCCTAGCTTGGAATATTGTTTGTTATGGTTACCCCAGTCATTCATACCTGGTTAGAAGTAAAAGTAAATCATAATCTTCTAATAAACTTTTTCTAATCATGACATGTCTCAATGTAATCCGTGTGTGTGAACACTGACTTAATAAAAATTGAAATTCTCACTTTGTGAATGTTTGTGAAAATATACTATTTTAGAAACATACATGGAGTTGAGAAAAAATGCCCTGAGCAGTAGGTACAGAGCAATCATATTCTCCTTCTTATTCTTCATTATCAGGTGATGTGTTTACATGCAATTCTAAGTTTTTAAAAACAACCTGGACAAATTCTTATGCACCATACTAACTTTCAGCTAAAACTGGTTTTCACTAAGAGCTGTATACTATCTGGGTCTACCGACACGAAAAAAGAAAATTTCATGCGACACCTCAATCAGGTCACATTCTTCCACCAGTGCAATTGGAGTTTATACAAACAATCCAGAACATAACCAGTGGATATATTCAAGTGAGACAGTTTTCATTTGTGAAATGCAATATCTCTGGGATTTTCAGTGATTAACAGTTTACATTTAGTATTCAGTAAATTTAAAAAGAATTTATCTGGAGGTTTGTGGAGATTTATTAACTAACTTAAGTTTGGAATTCATCATTGAATGACATCAGTTGGAGGAATATTGGCATCCTGGGAGCACTGGACAGCTGTTTCGTTTTAGTATGGGACTTCTCAGCAGTGCGCACCCATGACCCCAACAGAGATCATGATAATAAATTAATAATGTAGCGCTTATTGGTGACTAGCTTCAAGAGGTGATTTTCGAAGTTCAAATGAGAAGTCTTGCAGCCAACTAAGTCGAACATGAGGACAGTTACTCAACGATGACATTGGATGTAGGTCGCACTATATCGTAGACTGACAGAAGTAGGGAATGTGGATCACTGGATTCTTATCCAGTGGCTAGCTCAATAGTAATATGCTGGCTACGGAACCTGAAGGTCGTGACTTCGATCCCCTGTGGTGCATGGTCATGAGTACACACTGCTGCCAAGTTCCATATTAGGAAGAAACAGCTGTCTGATGCTCCTAGGTCTCTTCTGTTCTTCCAACTGCTGTCAGTCCATGGTGAATTTCAACCTAAAATAAATCTGTTTTATCACTTATTCGGTTTGGAATCCTAATCCTAATGAAATAACAAGTACAGTCGAGGCACGGAATCAGTATTTCTGCCCTCAAACTCGAATACTAAAAGAATTCCTCAACACCTACAGGTACAAAGCTTTTAAAAGCATTTTCACAGTGATAATTACTCTTCAACTTAGCCTGGTATTGTCACAGTTATTCAGAATTCCGGAACTCTATTAGAGGATGGTCCTGCTCATCTATTATGACCAAAGCTTGTACCGTGTAATTATAAGGTTTAAAACACTGACAAGTCTCCTGACTTCAACCCTGAACTAGCAAACTGAAAGCAGGTTTTCTTTCAAAATCTTACCCGAGAAAACCTCTAAGGAGAAATTGAGACAAATAGTGGACGCTGTGTGCACAAAAGATAATTGATGCTCACTGATATGATTATCAGTCACTATCCTTGTTAATTTAAACCACGAAACCTGAAGGTCTTGGGTTCGATCCCTGGTGGAGTAAGGTAATAGGTGCGCACTACTAAGGAGTCACATGCCAGGACGAAACAGCCGTCCAGTGCTCCCAGAATCGCAATGTTTCACTGACTGGTGCCAGTCCCTTATGAATATCAACTTGGAAAATAAGTAGAATACCTTTACTGGTATAATACTTGGAGGATCTAAAAATTCGTCGAAATATTCACGGTAAATACCTTCTTACTTCTTCATGGTACGATGTCATAGTCTTCGTTTGGTTCAACAGAGCCTAGACGTTTTGGCAGTTTTTTTGCTGTATCATCGAAAGAAGCCTGTATACTGAATGGGGAATTCAAAACTACAGTGTAAGTATTTATTTTAAAACTTGAATTTAAACCTAAGTAAAATATCTAATGAATGTTGAATTATTTTTACAAGTGAAAGTTAATTATCGCTACGAATTGCTTTAAAAGTCATCCTAGCAACTATGGAAATAGCAAGTGAGGTTTCTTCATGCTTCCGAGACCTTAAATTCTAAATGAAATAGAAAACTCCTGTTGTCTGGTTCAGCGCTTGGTAGAGTGACTTTCAGATTAACCGCTTTTTCAGTAATATTCATTTGCATAAACTGATCACAAGAGAATAATTGTATCTGTGATATGATGGCAAGCGCAGATACTTGAAAGGCTTCCTTTAAACTGCACAGCCTACTTTAGATGTACTGAGAAATTCCATACTCTGACTGTTAGTAGCAGTGTTATAACAGTATGTATGGGTAGAAGAAAAGCCTATGTGTTACTCGTTTGTCACTGAGTAAATACTTTATTTACCCTGGAAAAACTTTGGTTTTTCCTGTCATTTATCGTAAACACTAAAAACTTTGTAGTTTGAACATCACATCTACCTGTTATGCAGAAGTGGCAAAATACTGGAAAATCGTCTCATTGTAGAAATAGATAGTGATTTTCACCATGTGAATCATCATCAAAACAACAACTTTTAACCAACCATCAAATATTTTTCATGCTAAGTCCTTTATTTGTTTGCAATAGCTGTTTTTACTACATCCAGAGATGGTGTAGGCGAAAAGTGACTCGATGGGAAATCTATTAAAAGCCACTTTTTTCGTCTAAGACAACAAGTGATTAACACTTTTTAAAAAAATTCTAACACCACCATTTTAAGCTCCTTTTATCAAGATTTTACATAATTACTAAGAAAAACACTTCATGCTATGCCTTGTAGTGCTCCCTTCACTTATTGGACAGATACGGTAGATCACTAGTCTCTGATGAACCCCAAATGGGGTGAAAATCGCAGTCCAGGTTTCACTGCTAACCACTATCCATCAATATTTTAAGACTTAGTTTACCATGAGGTGATTAATATACATTGTACCGACTACTTACAGCTGAGGTTCCATGTGAGAGACTTTGGCTGTAACGGAGTTTAGATGCCTTATTCATAGTTGATAGTTTGAGTACACAGCTGAAGTGAAACAGCTTAGTTAACCTATTCGAAGGCCTCAGTATGGAGACTCTTTGTGTTTTCACTGGTAGATACCGAGACCAGTTTAAGTGGCATTCGACATGTGAAAGTATTGTTGATATTAGGCTTTTATCTGACCGATGACAACTGGTTAATCTACTAAATTACTGACTTGATGCAGTGAGTTGTTTTAGTGATGCATTTAGTGCTGAGCTGATATCATTGATTATAGACAAAACATGATTCATTTTCTAAGAAATTTCCTATTAACGGTAGAAAAGTGTAATGTCAACATCCGGATTCACCATGATGGATGGTAATGCCAGTTAAAAAAGTATTTACACTCAGGTTTCCTACTGCTAATGCAGTTGTAAGTGCTGCATTGTTTTTCCTGACTATAATGATTGTCATTCATTTGAGTGTTGTGTTAATTTCATGTATGTTTCATCATTTTAATCAATGAATATACTACAGATTAAATATATCGCAAGAAAAAACTAATGAGACCATGTGACCGCTGATGTCATACTTTAGATGGTGTAAGTATAGTCTGACAGACAAGGTTTTCAGATGTAATTTAAGTTGAAATGAAAAGAAAATGTATGAAACAAGACACTTCTGGCATGCAACAAACATATTCAGTAGTGATGTATATTCGCATGTATTTTAGGTATAAATTAGTTTTAGCAAGTAACTTCATACTAGCTAGGGTAATCTTAAAATGAATGCTTAAATTATTGAAAATGTCTTGATGACTTACCAACATATTGTCTAACTCCGATTACCGCAATAAATATAATCAACAATCCACCAGTGAACTGATAATTTAACTGATCCACAAAGTCAACACCTTCACCTCCATATGGAGTTTCAAAAACTTTGCCGATACGCAGTACAGTATCTGGATTCATGTGTGTATGCAGAATAGTTAAGAATTTGTTGAATAGATTAAATTCACATGAACAACACGCAAATGTTTGTACATTTCTCAATATTATACGACCCTAGTTTTCTTATAAATCTATAACAAAAGTTATTTAGGCTTCACTTTCTTTTTAAGGGGACCAATTATTTCTGAACTCCTTAGTTTCTGTTGCTTTTTCTGTTCAAATTGCGTTAAAATCCTGAAGTATATTATTATTATAATGAAGTATACAAAAAAGCATTCATGAGACATTTCAACTGTGAATGAAATTCGCCTGCTGGCTGCAGCATAATACATAATTTTTAATAGATCTGAACGAATGATATCATTTTTGTACTTGCCTAGAAAATGAATTGATTTATGTATTCATATGCATTCTCAGTTTTCGTATGTTTTTCAACCGAGCATTTTTGTCCTATCTACAATGTTATATATGCATACATATGTATCCAAAATCAGTATTTTAAAACTTCTCGCTTCTAATATCTGATGTCTTCTGTTGAAAACAACACGTGAAAAATATTTTTCACACTGTCTTTGGTTTATTTTCAAAACGTTTTCCTTCTTTGAGTGGTTTTACTGATGGAACAGTTGTAAGTATGCAAAGGTAGAAGAGACAAGCAGATGAGATGCAGTGTATATTCCTGTTTTGCGGATTACAAACCATAAGAAGCTTCGACTAGCATTCATTATGTCTATCCAAAACACCCTTGAAAAAAGCAATGTGAATGAACGATATCAGGAAATGGGAGATGTTTCTATTTTGACAGTACGTCGATGAGGAGCTGGTCATCCTTTTGCTCAATTGTTAAAGATCAAAAGCGATCAGTATGACAGGTCATAGATTCCAATTTCTGTGTTATCGCGTATATTTTTTCATAGTTAAAAGTGTATTTAAAGATAGACGTTTACTAAAAGTCAGCTTTGCATCATAGTGGTATCAAGAGTGAAGCATTTATATGTATTTATAAATGTACATAATAAAAATAATTTTTAGGTATAGGAAACTATATGAAGGTTTGAATTTTCTATCTTTTTTATGCATCAGAGTTAGACAGATTCTGTTCTAGTCTGTGCTATTCTTCATAGGAAACAAGTATGCATATCAACGACAAGACGATTATAAAGAGATGCAAAAGGAGTGGGAGGAAAAGGTGAGGGAGTAGGGGAAAGACCAGTAAATGACCAGTTAGTTAACTACCTAACCAACCAATTAACCAACTAACCTAACAAGTCGAAAAGTACACGCAAGGGAATCAATGGTACATCAACTAACTTTAAAAACATCCATTTTTAAATAGAAAAAAACTTAACCGCTCTCACTATCACCTCTACTGACCGATAACTTATAAACAATAAGAGAAAGATTTCAGTGTGTTTGTCTTCAGTCTGCATTTTCCCTCCCTCGTTATCTTAGGAACACACATACAGTGATTCAGTCTCAGTAGCCTAAGTTTTACCTTTTTGTGGTGATTGTGTGTAATATTATTCACATTACACTGTTGTGGATTGCCTGTTAGACATAAAGAGGTTGGATAATGCGGACACTTCTTTATGCAGGAATACAAAGTTGATTCAGTAGACAAACAAACAAGTCTTTGATTGTTAATACTATTTCCGATAAGTAGCCATTTAAGCAAGTACGTGTGCTCAACCCTAGAAATAGTCACCTGTTTTCTCAGCTGTTTATTCGACAAAGATACGTGCGAGTATACTAATATCATGAATCACACTCTAGTCATTCAAAAAAGTACGTTTAGGTAGCGTTTGGATGTTATTTAAGAGACAATTTAACGTATTGATTGGTCATGGGAGTGCAACCAATTTCATGTTGTCTAGTCCTAAGTGGTGACCAAATTCTATCGATCATATTTGCAATGTGGAAACCAAGCTAGGAAGCTCAGCATCGTGGTGCACACTAGTAGATGTTAGTTGGTCGGGGGCGATCGGCAGAAAGCCGTGGACCTAGGTTTTGTGCTTTTTGGCACTCGTCAGCAAGGCGTATCTGCAACCTCACTTGAACTGATGTCCCGCCTGAGATTCGAACCCGCGTCACCCAGTGTTATAGTCAAAAGCACTCAGGACTAAACAACATGAAATTGGTTGCACTCCAGTGACCAATCAATACATGTAAGCCAGTCTTACAGGAGGTCAGTCGCGGCCTGAATAGCTCAGTGATAAAGTAGCTGACTACAACACTGGGTGACGCGGGTTCGAATCTCAGGCGCAACATCAGTTCAGTCGAGGTTGCAGATGCGCCTTACGGACGAGTGCCAAAAAGCACAAAACCTAGGCCCATGGCTTCCTGTCGATTGCCTCCAACCAACTAGCAGACCATTCAACATTACTCGACAACAAATTTGTGGAAAATTCTAGTCAGTTATATCGTCCGCTGCCATAATTACGTAAACAAGTGACCAGAGTAATATATCAGAAAATAAAAGGAAAATCTGTTTCACAAATGAGGAATAATACCAACAATTCATTTGGTCGACAAAAGCTATGCAACTATACCCTGAAAACGTTCCACAAACGATCTATCTGGATAAACTAACGTATCCGTAAATAATGGTACTTTATCTCCGGGATGCTCACGCTTGTTAGTCAGAGAGAAGAATACGGTCGATGAAAGTCTGTTAAGTGAGGAAATTTTTAAAAACTGTGCTGATTTCTGTTATAATATCATTCGGTAATGGACTGTTCACTAACCAGTCAAAGGTATTGTTGACAGTAGGACTATTCAAAAATATTAAAATGAAGTCAGTTTATTGTTCATTGATATATGTAATTTCCCGTTGAGTGATATGGACAAGACTTTGGCATTTATAGAGATAGGTACTGGATCAGAATCTCAATGGAAACAACGTCATTCAATGAGGTGCAGGTATATCTAGCTGGCGAGTCTGAAATATGGTGGAACGCGTGTCTTGCATTCCACTGCTGGGCATCAAACTGACTAGGTCAATGCATATTCATGAAATTAACTCCCAGTGTTATCTAAATAAATAGGATAATAGGTAGTGCAATTTTTTTGTATAAATTCAAAGTTGGTCAGTTTACCCAACAAGGTACACTTCGTGGAAGAAACATGAAGAATCCATGTTTATACTTCACTATGGTTTTGCCACAAACAGGGTATTGTTTTCTTAAATCGAGTCCTCTAACCTTTTTTATATGCGAAGATTTTCCTGCATTCATCACTATTTATCGACGACTTTAAAAAAAGTCGTCGGGTCAACAAATGCTGAGTAGTTGAAATAGGCTACGTTTATGATACCATCACTGTCATGTTGGATGGTAAGTGATCACGAAGTAGAACTGATACTCATCTCTTAAATTTTTCAATATATTTTTTTCGACAAATGGAAAAGGGCGATTAGATAACCTTTTTTACCCTTACATTCTTCAAGATGTCAGTTAGCTTCAGAGTGACTTCTGAGTGTCTTTAAGAATGGATTACTATATTCACCTATTGCAACCTATTATTCAAGATGTACTGATTGACTGCAGTACAATTTAACTACACCCTGCTTTCAAATGGTATGAAATCGCCATAAGGATGAACCATACGCTGAATTCTGTAGTGAAAAAGACCTACTCAACCACCAAGATGGTCTGTCTGTATAAGAGTAAATCCTCGCTAAGGTGCTCCAAAATGGACAAATTCCCAACTATTGTTAGCTTCAGTTGTATTTATCGATTCACAAGTACGTGCTAGGGTACATACAAAGGAAGGATTCTTGTTCAGATTTTTCATTATATCCCATAAAATTTGGGTCTAAGAATTCCACACGTTTACCTAGAGAAATCCTATGGCATTTACTCGACATCTGACATAATATCAACGCATCAAAATCGTTCGGTGTGATCAATACAAACTGGGACCCAACTTCTGCCCTTTGCTGATGCATTTGCAATTAGAAGACTTAAGTTTGATCTCAGTATTCAAAAGCACACTGTTATCAATGTTGTTTTACCTCGGCGATTTCAATCCTCTGAGTTTGTAACTACAACATTTCATGACCTAATGACCCTGTTTCTTTCCGTTTTATTTTTCTCTCTATTTCAAAACTTAATCCGACTTCCTGAGTTATATTCACATTGCAACCCAATACAACGAAAATCGCTTAACCCCTTATTACGTTTACTTAAGCATGATGTCACTTCTATCAATTCTAGAAAAACAATGTTAACGACACCCTTTCACAGTTTTAACCTCCTCCAAAATGTTCATCCTGTTAATTTATAAATAATTATCTTTGGAGTATTATCAAAAGAAGCAAGTAAATTCATATGCATACATGAATTTCGCCAACAGCTGGACCTTTGGCTTTACTTTTTGACGAATTAGAGCTCCTGGGGAGAAAACTAGACCGTCAGATAGAGCAAAGGATGTTCTATTAGCTACTTTTAATAGATGATCGTAGCTCAATTTGTCACCCTTGAATTTCAGATTCATACAGGTTTTGTTATGGGTTCTGTTAAGTTGTGTGGGATATCAGGTTTCTTTTTTTATTATCAACAAATAAGGTTAGGTATCTATTGTGAAAAAGAGTTTTTGAAGAATTCCAGTTATATACCCAGTGTATCTCTCAGTTTTACGTACTGTTAAATCCTCTTTGTTCATCAGTTTTTCTGATTGCAGTATACTTCTCATAAAACACACAGCTTCCAATAAATGAGCTAAAATACAAATAGGTAACACCCATCAAATACCGTCATTTGTGAAAACCTCTTGTTTCTAAATGATAAATAAGATATCATATTTACGATATCAGTGAACATTTAATTGAATAACGTAGATGGTATTCTCTTTCGTGGTTGCACATTGGTACCTGAACCCTGGTGACTGATAAAATTAGTCAGACACTCTGACTGATCAGAGAAGCATACCACAAACCAATGTGTGTGCTTAGATGGAAACCAAATGAAATTAATTATTCTTTCAATTGACTTTCATTCTAATTTCCTCGTTATTCTTCAGCTGTGCATTAAAAAGCGAAAAATTAAACTTATGAAACACAAAAAAGGTTGATAAATGTTTTTCCATTCAAATTCCACTTTCCAGCTGGATTATCTTTTTATAGTTTTGTCCTGTAGTTATTTTCTTCTTCCTTTAAAATATTTTAATCGATTGATCCACCGGGAAATAAAAAGCATTTTCACCTATTGTCACTGTATTACCAAGATTACAAATGGGAGTTTTATGGGGATTATTACTTATGTTACATTTACATGTTCAAAGTAGTTGAAGTCAGTGCGAAATATAAACTACATCATAATGGAATTTGTAAGATTAGTACATTTAAAATAAAATGAGTTTAGCTGAATTCACAAAAAGCATCAATCAGATGTATAGAAATACCAGAGAACTGTGATAATTTCAAGTGGTATCCTTGAATTCGGGTGTCACCTAAGGTTTTTCTAAGCTGTTTGAGTTACGAACCACTTACAGTCAAACTGAAAATAAATAAAAAAAATCTGTTGGTGTAAGGATATTTTATCAAGTAATGTGAAGCTTATTAGTTATTATGAACAATTTCTAAAGCGATAGAGGAAGCATTCTTCTATCTGATCAGCTACAACAGTAAAATTTAACTAAGCCAAGGTCTAAAAATTTGATGATATGCTTCTTCAACAATAAGTTCATTTTCCAGATTCAAGCAGCTCATATAAGTCTTGTTCACGCCAGGAGTAGTATTCAACTGTAAACTCTAGGTTATAAAGAAATTACTATTTTCTGGAACTAGATATTCCTTGAAAAAAGACTACAACACAACTAAGAGAATCTGCATATTACGTTGTTAAAGTTTATCTTTTGTTTAGCAATTTATACATAAAGCCCAGCTATCTTTCGCTAACTATCAGAAACGAATTTACGATGGAATCTGAACATGACAACAAGTTCAGTGCTTTAGGCATCAAAATGAGAAGAAGTAATGGTACGACTGAAAAGAGCATTCTTCAAAAAGGACAGTTCATAGAATGTGACTGCTTATATTCTGTTAGCTATAATTATGGAAAAGAAGATACCGAGAGAAATAAACATCCAGCCGTAGGAAACAAGATGGTTTTTATGCACCTTACGTTCAGGGGAAATGCGGTATCCAAGAG